AACATGGGACTCATAGTCCCAGTATTCTCTAGGTCTTTGGGTATTGACGTCCGGGTAAACTCTAGAGCGGCTTGGAACAGGGCCAGACATATTCTGTGTGGGATCTTCTCTAGATGTCCTATAAAATGACAGACAGGGACGAACACACATAAAATTTACCCCTCAAAACCAACAAGAGCATGTAACTGATAACGGCAGCTAAATAAATTCCATATATTAATGACTACGATTAAAAAAAAAAAAAAAATTATATACCAGACCTGATACAATACCTGGGAGGTTTCCTCCAGGATTAATGGTGACAGAAGAAGTTAACAAAAGTTGCTTAGATGCCTTAGATGTAGGTAAGCTAAACAGACAAAAAAAGAAAGATCTACGGTTAGAGTGAGCAAAGGCACAACAAAATCAGCTATGATATGACCAGTAAACCGTTTCACGATTCGAAAAAGGCTCCTCTCTATAACCTTCAAACATAAACAATTAAAATCAAACAACTTCAAAAAATAATTCTCAACAACTAAGCAGTTTGGTGCATGGGGTGTTTGCATATGATGGCGTATGAAATGGAGAAACCTTGGTGTTAAATGGGGGCATCCAACCAGTCTAATCAGGAGGAACAGGGCTCAGTACAGTCATCACTGGGGGCTACAACGACTACCTCCTGTTGGAAAAAAAAGGAGACAGAAAGTAGGCTGATTAAAATCAATAGGGTCAATTAGGCAAACATGGGCAAAGTATGTGAGGCATCGCACGCCAGCGAATGAAGCTGAGGTTAACGGACCTCCATCTATAAAATACAGTCGCAGAAAATTTAAATAGGCCAAAATGATGCGTTCATACACGCACACAAGTCCATTAAAATCGGTCAATTGGCTTAATAAGTTGATACAAAAGATAAAAGTAGGCACAAACCAAGTGCGGCCTACGGCCTGGCTGAGTGCTAACAGCTAGAAGCTAACAGCAGAACCGGGAAGCAGGTAGGGATGCTAACAAGCTAGCGTTAGCTCGTCAACAGCAGAGTGAAAAGCCGGTTGGAAAGTCACACATAGTCCTCGACCACATTCCAGTGTAATATTGTGTATAAATAAACATTAAGCTTTAAAATATCAAACTAAGCGCCTTGTAGGCCTTTATATATGTTTGGCTTTATAAAAAAATCTGAGAAAATGGGTACATTTCCCTTTTCTAAAAAGTGCTAGGCTAGAAGGCTAAGGGAGTGAATAGACTGCTTTCTGGCGAGGCAACGGGCTGACAACGCCTTGACAAAACAGCCCACGAACACCGTAATTGTGAAGCATATGGGATACCACAGATTAGCTACTCGTACTCGGCTTTTCAGTCCGTCTAATAAAACCAACGCGGGTTATAAAACAACAAGGATTTCCGATTAAATAACACGATTACCTCTCAGCGTTGTTGGGACGTCAATATGGCGATGCCCGAGATCAAGAGCTTAATGCGAAAGGCTTTTCCAGCAGGGGGCGCTCGTTATTTTGTGTTCTCCATGAAGAATTTTTTTTTTTCCGCTTCTTCTGCCATGACAGGTACGTCTGACCGAAAGGAAACTTTGGTCTACACGTGTCTCTGAGTGGATTTAATCCGAGATATGACTTTTTTTTTTATCAAAGGAAACGTCATTGAAACACACGATTCAGTGCACAAACAACACCACGTCCCCTACAGCTCTTATGATTAAAGTATGGGAATTTAATGCATTCAATGTGACTGCAAAATTAAAATTAAATCATTAAAAAAAAAAGGAGGGCAAAAACTGTGCATTTTAATAGCACTCAAAGCCTATTTTTTATGTCACAGTTATAGACCTATTTCTTTTTTTATTTTGATTATATGAAAAGAATACAAAACGGATCTCTTTGCTGATGGACTGACTGCAGAACAAAGACAATCACTTAAAGCTTAAAGACCAGACTCAAAATAAAATAAAATCTCAAGGCTGAAGGACTGGTGTGGACATTTCCCAACCAACTTTGGGCATGGAGGGGACAGTCCCCACCAATAATGTCCGCCTCTCCCCCCCGCTGATTTACTTCAGCCAACAGTAACTGGGGTTAGGTGCAGCTAACTGTGTTCAGAGCGTTTTCAGTCCGTGTTTTTTCCTCGCTCTGCCGCTGCTCTCGAGTCCCACCTCTCAGTGAAACATCATCAGATCTGTAGCTTTGGGACATTCACTGCGCACAGAGTCGCTAGGAGGATGAGAAGAGATGCTAATATGGCAAACCATAACCTTAACATACTGTCTGTTTCGTCTTCGTTTTAACATAAATTCGCAGCAACACTCAGTGAATTTTAACTGGCAGCTACTTCGATATATGTTTAAGTAAAACTTAGGAGACGGGTTGGTTAAAAAAATCAGAGATGCCACAGAACTTTTTCAGCAAAAAATGGCAGCAGATTGTACATTTATATAAGTAAAAAAAGCTGGTCTTCTCAGGACCATACTCAGAGTTACGTAACTCTGAGTATGGTCCTGAGAAAACAACAGATATGGGTTCATTTTAATCTGTCAGATTAAAATGAACCCATATCTGTTGTTTTCTTATTGAACAGAGAATCAGACTGCAGAGCTTCTAGAGATCCTGAAAAAGATTTTCTCTGGCATCGTTATATTGGTAAACAGGTTCATAAATCTGTTTTTAAGCAGAACAGAGACACAATTAGGGACAGCTGCTGATTTAAAGGTGAAACAGATTAACTGGGATATGCAACATGCAATAAATTGTATTGCCAAGTTTACATGAATAAATATGCAATGCTTTAATAAAATTCATCATATCTTTTTGTCTTTTGTAGTTAAACGAGACTCAGAAAGAGCTGCAACCCAGAGACAGTCAGTTTTACTGGACACAGACTTAAAATTAAAATATAAGAATTAAAGCACAAATAATACAAATGAGTGTATGATTTTTGAAATATAAGGTTCAATACATAGACTTTGGCCGTCAATGACATTTAGGACAAATTTCTAAATTTGATTTTGCTGTTTGTGAAGGAGGATAATCACTGATGCAGCTTAAAGGGAAGCCATGCATGGATGGATGATATATTGATGTTGGCATTGGATTTCGTCATTTTTTTTTATACATTAATGTGTTTGAGCCCTTTATAAAACAATGCACTAAAGGAAGGCATCTGTCTATAACTATATATAGCACAAATGTATTGTTGCACTCTTGTGCTCTCAACAATAGTAACGCATTCAATAAATATATGTTTGAGCTATTTTTTGGAAAATATAAACCCTATTGAAAGCATTGGGGTTGAGTAGCTGTAGGTCCATCAGCCACCACCCATAGGGCGTCCCCACCAACTTTTATCACAAAGTTACACCCTTGCACCAGATCCATCCATCCATCCATTTTCGGACATTCTTAATCCCAAGTAGGGTCGTGAGGGGTGCTGGTGCCTATCTCCAGCTGTCTATGAGCGAGGTTCTTCCTGGACAGGTCTCCAGTCCATCGCAGGGCAACACAGAGACAAACAGGTCAAACAACCTTTCACACACACACTCACACCTACAGGAGAATTTAGAGAAGCCAATTAACCTCACAATCATGATTTTGGACTGTGATCATACAGTCAAATTGATTCAAAGTTTTCTGTCTAAGGAAAACCAGTTGATTGCATCGACTCAAAGGCAATCACTCACACTAAGTATGCTGGTGGCGACAGTAGAGAGGAAAAGCTCCCTCTTAACTGGAAGAAATCAAGCAGAACCAGAGTCAGTGTGAGCGGCCATCTACCGAGGCCGACTGGGGTTCAAGGAGACAGAAGCAGAGATAGAAAAAGAAGCAGAGAAACAAAAGGAACTGTAAACCAGCTCCACAGGCAACAAACACACAGCCAGGCAGACGAGCTCCGTGTCAGCTCCCATGTCAGAGGATCAAGAGAGCACATCCAGTTAGTCACAGTCAGAGAAACAGGACTACACTGAAAAACAGGCCGATCTCAAACATCTATAAACAAAGGTGTTGATGGATGCAGCACAGCTGATATTTCTCTCCAGGATGGAGTCAAAGCCAAACAGGAACAGACCAGATGAAGCTACTATGAGAAAAAGCAGCATAAACAAATAATTGACTTAAAAATTTGATAATACTTAGTTTAAATATCAAGCCCATCTATAATTTAGGTCTAAAGTATACACTTTATGAATGAGTATCTGTGCCACCTTTACGGAACAGAATTGGTAGAGGAGAGTGGCAGAACATTTGAACTTGGTAACAGCTAGGCTTCTTCTAATAATACTGTCCATTATAGACAAATGGTGGCTAAATGCTAGCCAGGGTGAACATATTTAGTCTACACCACAGTTCCCTTCCTCTGCTTATGCGTTTTCAGTACCTGCTTTAGACGCACCTAATCTACCCACTACAATTATAACAAAATTCAATTTTCATTCTTAGGACCGTAACACATCCAAACGTGATAAAGTTTATTTAGTTTATTTAACAATAAAATATATATAAAACTTAACAAGTTCAAATTTACAGCAAGTTTCTAAAAAAGGAGGATAATAAGATTATCTACATCAAAGAACCGTGCCCCAACATTTCCTTTTATTCAATGTTTTCTAAAACCACAAAAGAACATATTCTGTACTTAAGCAGGTGGAAGATTTCAATTAAAGCACTGAGTCAAATTAAGCTGGTTTTTAAACCACAGTTGGTACACAATGAAACAAAAACACAATGAACACAATGTACACAATGAAACAAACACCTAACCCTAACCCAGGGATGAAGGGTTTTCTTTGGGTGACTCACTGGAACAAACTAATATTTAAAACTAAAAATCTTTTTTTTTAATGCTGTTTTTTTAGTTACAGAAAAAATAAAAATTCTTGCATTTTATGGAATAAATTTTGTTCTGTTTTAGAGCAAAGAACATGTTTTGTACAGGAATGTTTGAAAAAAACAACAACAACAAATTAGAAAGGAAAATTCTTAAACAAAAAGATTTTCAGAGTAACTTTGCTGTTTTCTTAGATTCCACGTAGAATGTTAATATTTTTTTTTTCTTCTAATTTTTGCCTGATTTGTTAACAGGCAATGTCTCCTTCTTCTACTTCTCTTTGGTCTTCATCTTCCCTTTGGTCTTCTTCCCTTTGGTCTTCTTGCTTTTCTTGCTCTCTCTTTCTCTACTGAAAGCACTGAGGCCTAGGCGGACCATGCAGCCTCTCCACCAGGTTTGGATCTGCACAGATCAGAACAGGTATATCACCCAAGTGAGAGGGGCTTTTTAATATTACCTCTAATGTGGCATTACCTTGATCGCAGCTCGGTCCTCAGCTTCCTTTTGGCGTAAAATCTCTTGCTCCTCTCTGTATTCTTTCACCACCTGCTCCATTTCCCTGAACTGAAAGCAACAATCATTGGTATTGGTGCAGTAAGCTGTGTGACAGCTGCTGCGCCATGACCACTGCTCACCTTCCTCTTCATCTCCATCAGTCTGTCCGTTTGCAGAGTTTTTTTGCAGCCTAAGGTATTAAACTTCTCCTGGTTTTCCTGCTGTATCTGCTGAGTTTTTTCCTTCAACATGTGCAGCTCCTGTTCAAGCTTCTATTCAGAAAAAAAAATAGATTGCCTTAATAATACCTTGAGCCATTCATCACATAAAAAAACCTTGAATTTATATGTGTGTCTGAAAATTCAAAAACGTCATGTCATCCTCTGCAATACAGTGGATGAAAACTGCTCTGCTAGGGTAACAGTAAATCTAAATTACCTCTAAACAGGATTTTTCTAACTTTGGAAAATAACACAGAGCGCAGTGAAAAAATCTTTACAACTGTAGGGACTTCTGCTAGGTTTTCATTTCAGCCACTTAGATGTAGATTATCAGACACATTTTAGACAAGACAAATTTTAAGATCTAAGAAAAGTTACCTGAGATAATGACTTTGAGGGAATCTCTGAATTCAGGTATTTTCTGTAATGTTCAGGAAATGTTCAGACGTCTGCACCTTTATATTGGTTTACATTTGACTAAATTATCATTTATTTAATCAAATTATGATTTTTATGAAAGTATCAATTCTTTTTCTGTTTTGTGTTATTTGAATTATTAGTGTGAATTTATCATTTTCTTTAAAGGGAGGGTATGTAAACTTTAAAGCACAACTCTCCTATCCTGGCTTCGCTTCATTGGCTTCCTGTTAAAACCAGAATAGA